GTTCTTTTTCATTTCCTGCTAGGAAGAATAGCTTTTAATAAAAACAAAAAAACCTCCAAACCAAAGAAATTCATTATTATTCCACAGATGTCTTCTGCCTACAAGAGGAGGCGAGAATTTAAAGGGACAAAACTGTAGCTAGAGTTTCTCTTGAACACTTGGCAAATCTCAGCAAGGGTAGGATAACGTAGATGAGACTAGAGGAAGCTGTGCAGCTGAGTGTTGCTTATGGAAAACCTGCGTGGGTCTGTCAGTGAGCTTGTGGAGATGGGGCAGGGACGGGCGTGTGAAAGCCCCACCCAGGCAGCCCCAGATCTGTTGTTCTGAACGGGTGGGATGTTGGGTGTATGGTGGTGCTGATGGATGAGCGTGAAGAATTCTGGAAACTCCCAGAAGTTCTGAGGTATTCTGTTTTCTTAATACCTCACCCTTCTGGAAGATGCTGCTCCCCAGATCCAAACTCTACTGTTGCTCTTGGAATTTTTCTGTCTCTTCTCACTGCAGCCTTGAAATTCTCCGCGACCTTTTTCCTACCCCTCTGCCCTCCCCACCGTCCATACCGTTGCAAGTCTTCTTTGGGCCAAGTCACCATTTGCAGAACCTTGTTGCTAAAAACCCAACCTGTCCTGGCTCCCCACTTTTCTTTTGCAGCTTTTTTTGTAGCCAGTGTCCCGTCGTTCGTGTGTTTGCTGTTCGTGACGCAAGGTGCCCACGCAGGAGAGCTCTGGTTTGGGTGAAGATGCGTACTACGCTTCCACAGACTGTCATGGGTGGCGAGGACAGTGCACCCAACTGTTGGAAGTGCCTGCTGGGCTGTCCTGGGGGATTTTTAGCTCGGGGATTATTTGCATCTGAAAGCTCATCAAACCCAGAACGTGCATTAGGACCACCGAGTGTGGGTTGTGCAGGTGATGCCGTTTATACCTCTTCCCTTGGCACGTTGGTGTTTTTTCTATTCCCACACATCCCTATCCCTTCTTTATCTCATCACACAGTGACTTTCCTCCATTTCCTTATGAGTTCAGGGGGTTTTTTCCTTATCTCTGTGGCTTTTCCCTGTAGTCAGCATTCAGTGTGTTTTTTCTGGAGCTGAAGAGTCTGAAAGTATAAGATATTAAGAGAGTTTAATGAATGTAATCCCTGTGACTTTAGCTCTGTTGAGAGCAAATATGAAAGGCGGATGAAACCTTCGGTTGATTGAGAAGTTTGATAAATTAAAAGATAGTGACATGCACCTGAGTCCACTGCACAGTTACACTTTCAAAACTGCTACAGTCAGTGCCTGTCTTTGATCTTTTCATTTGAGAATAGCAGTAGTGTGTAAGATCTGCTTTTGATCATTCCCTGGAGGCACTTTGGTCCCGACTATCTGCTGCACATCCCTCTTCGGCGGGAGATGAACGCTGACGGCTCGGTGCGTGCCAGCTCCACGCGGCTGTGAGCAATTGCTGGCCACCGTGTTCATTCTTGCTGTGGAAGACTGGTTTGATTTCAGATCGCAGATGATGAAAGCCCGGTGTGGGAAACCCATTGTGCCACCTACTCTTAGTTTGCTGCTCTCTCTTCCTTCGGGTGTGGCGCTCTCTGTTCTGTTTGTTTTTTTCTTTCCCTGTGAATTCCTGTTTCTTTGCTGACGTTTCCCACAACAGAGGTTTTGATTAATGCTGGCGGCACACTACAGCTTCTGAAATTCATTGCTTTATTCCCTCACTGCAGATCGATAAATACTTATGTTTTATTTCCAGTGCTTTGCCTTACATCACGGAAAAGTCCAGCGTTCCTCCTTGAATGCCGTCCTGTATTTGAGTTTGTGTTACTTCAGCACGTCAGCCTGTAGTTTATGTCTTTGGTACAGCCAGAGGCTGTGCGTCCTGCAGTCGTCTTCCGAAGCAGTCCTGCTGCCTGCCAGCTAGTGTGAGTGCAAGAGGCAGAAACGAGTTGTAAACACTTTGAATTTCAATCTGATTGCCCATGCAGTGTGGATCTAACAAAAACTAGTTGAGCACTTTCTCGGGGTGTTTTTTTCAGGCCTTAGAGCAACCTTGGCAGTTCCTACAGCCAACTCCTGTAAATATGTTGGAGTGAAGGAACAGAAGGCTTGGACCTGGAGTCTCAATCCTAAATTGAGACCAGCTTAAGGAGGGAATTGGACCTTGCTCACAGCTGGCTCTTCCTCTCTTTTCTCAGGAAGTACTTAGTGCCTTTTGAAAAGGCTGCAGGTTGTTCACCGTTCTTGATTCTTCCATCCCGTTTGCGTTGTTGGTGGGTATGTGGAGGGTGCCCCTACGAAGGGAACGAGCGGCACTTCACGAAATGAGAACGTGGATGAGTATTTTGAGTGATTTTACAACACTGAGCATACAGGTAAATTACTTGGTGCACAGTTCTGCCTTTGTTCTACATAATAGCAAGACAAAAATAGAATGCATTGGGTCCTTTTAACTGTTGGAGAATCATGGACTCATAGAATCGTTTAGGTTGGAGAAGACCATTAAGATCATGGAGTCCAACCGTTAAGAGCGTATGTTCCTTGTACAGGATGCTAGAGTGTTGTGTGCGAGAGTCTTTCAGTCTGGTATCTTACTTGCAAACTGAGGAGTTTTAAATCTGGATATGTATGTTAGCCCTGGAAGTGGTCCCATGCAAAACGTAATGAAGCTGGGTTGCTCTGACCTCCGAGCTCTAACATGTGTTTGTTTTGGCTCTCTCGCAAAAACCTGCAGTATACAAATTGGCACTTGTAAAATTGTTCAGATAAATCAAAATTGGTAGAGGAAAAGAAAGTTTCAAACTGTTTCTTTTGGGATCCTTTGCCATGCTATTTTTGATGTGTGTTTTCAGAGGAGTGTTTTTGTGGCAGCAGGCAGTTTGTTGCTTGAAGAAAGCTAAAATATTCTAGGAAGTCAGGCTAGCTGAATTTAGACCTTAAGTGATGCCAAAACTAATATAGTCTGTAACTGAGTGAGAGTGGCTTTGCACGGTAAATGTCAGTCACCCGCAGCTTTGTCTCACGTTTTCATCTGAGCCTTTATAAAAGGAAAACACAGACAAAACCCCAGAAAATGTGGTAGCAGCTTACATCCAATGGAGTTAGAGCTGGAGTCTGCTGCATGGGAGAGACTGCTCCTCATCCCCTGCACACAGCCGGGCTCCGGAGGCATGGGGATGGATTCCTCTGGGCATGGAGCGCCGTCGGTGCTGCCAGAGTGGGCTGGCCTGGAGTGCCCTCTCTTGGCTGCTGCCGAAACCTCACATTTCGGTAAGGACGGTTGTTACCCTTTCAATTTTCCAGTGTGATGGGCAGAGTATTGGTTATGTTTCCAGATTTGCTTCCTAAGGACCTCAGGTACCTGAATGTGAGTCTCCGGTGCCCATGGCGAGCTCGAACCCCTCACTGGAAGCCACAATAAAGCTCTGTGCTCCAGCAGCATTGCACGTAGGACCCTGTTAACTTGGTGCTCCTGGGACTCTTAACGTTGCAGCAGAGCTCAGCTTTTTAAGAGACTACATACTGCTCCGAATCCAGGGATCCCAGAGGCGGCAACTGCAGTGGCCCCTGCTTGACTCTTTGCACTGCTAAATGAATCCAGAACAAATGAGGCTCTGAAAATAATAAGAAAAATTTGACACCTGGACTCCAGGAAACATTTGTGGATTTTGATGAGGAGCAGTAGGGGGGAAGGGAAAACCTACGGTTCAGCGTAGTTAAATATATGGTGTGCTAAGTATGAATAAATTGTGACTATTTTAAACAAGTTCATATACTCTGTGGCTGGCTCAGGCACAAAGGAAAAGACAACAGCTACAACATACTAGTTCCTCGGAGGGTTACCTGGAGGCCAGTGTCCTGGGCTGCTGCTGGTGCATGGCAGTCGTCAACATTCATCGTTTATACGAGTGGCAATTTTTTTTACACATAATTCTTCTTTAAAAAAAGAATTTGTGTCAGTGCTTGTGAGTGAAGAGGTTTTTGTCTCCTGATAGCCTCACTTGGCAGTCCAGTTCCTTTCCGCATTGTTCATACGTGATTCATTGTGTAAAGCAATCCTTCAGCACACTGAAGTTAAGAAGTTCCTCTTCAAATGGCCCAAGCCCAGTTCATGCCTGTTTTAAGGTGGCTAAATTGCACGGAGCTGTCCTGTGCACGCTCCCCCCGCTGGGATGCGAAGTCACGTGATAATTTCCTGAGCTATTGAAGTCGGGTCACTTCTGTATTCCAGCCGAGTACCGTTACAGCAACATCTCAGCTCTGGGTTTGGGGAGGGTGTTTCTTCCCAGCCTGTAAACTCCATCCAAGTGAATCAGCCTTTCACTTTAAAGCAGAGACTGAAATCCAGCTCTGGATGGATTTCCATCTAGCCCTGGCTGCTAGTGCCTAAAAATCACGATTATGTGGCTTAACGTGAGCCACGTAAAATGAATCAAGTGCCTTAGGGTGGGTGTGCAGTCACAGCTCATGCTGGTTTTTACCCTTGAATGGGGGTGTGTGGCCATGGAGGTGGCCCCGAAGTCCGTCAGGGCACCGTGGGGGTGAACTTGCTTTGCGGTTAGCATAGAAGGTAAGAATCTGTTTTTCAGCCTGCTGCTAGGGCTGCTTTCTTTCATAAGCAAGACAGCAGCCCACGCAGGCCAGTTGCACTCACTGCTGACAAGATGTGAATGTGAATTCAGTGCTTGCTGTCTTGCTTTAGCAGGTGTTGTTCTTTAGGGTGTGTTTGGGTTTGAGCGTAAATCCAAAAAACATCATTTCTTCTGGTTTGGTCAGAAAAAGCACAGTGCAACCCGCTGTTGCAGTCTTCTTCATGGTAAATGACAGAGAATATGTATGAACAATTACACCTTGAAATGCAGTAGGTCTGTGTCTTAACACGCGGCTTTTGTTGCATTCCTCGTGGCAACGACACAGCCATTCGCGCTCGGGGTTTTACAGCACTGCTCATGGTACTGGCTTAGCCCTGACACTGTTTAGTTGCTGTTGCTGTTCTCTTCCTGTACAATAGCTCCCTCTGCTTGAAAACAGCAGTGTAATTATAACCCCTGTTTCGGATTTGCCTGATCAAGGGTCTTTAATGTGGGCCCTTTTATTAAGATTGCTGCGTCTCTTCATGAAGCAATTCGACACGTGGCTTATGCTCGTGACTGTCGAAAAGTACCAGTGGTAACTGTGCTGTTCTCAAAACCTCACTGCACAGGGAGTGCCTGCGTTTCCAGGAACTCTCGCTTCATTTCTAGCAAGATTAGAGCTGGTTGGACAATGTTTTCAGCTAAACTGTCTCTTACCAAAACATGATGATTTATTGGAGCCAAAATCTTTTATTGCAGTGAAGACTTAAGTTGAAGCAGGACCGTTTCTCATCAGAAGTGTGGTAGATAGGACAAGGGGTAACGCGTTTAAATTGAAAGTGGGGAGGTTTAGCTTAGATATCAGAAAGGAATTCTTCCCAGAGAGGATAGGGAGGCACTGGGACAGGTTGCCCAGAGAAGCTGTGGATGCCCCATCCCTGGAAGTGTCCAAGGCCAGGCTGGATGAGGCTTGGAGCAACCTGGTCTAGTGGAAGGGGTCCCCCGGACTGGGGGGGCTTTAAGGCCCCTTCCAACCCAAACCATTCTGTGATTCTATGATTCTATGATCTTGAATATCTGCAGAGGAGAAGCTAATGGTGAGCCTTCCATGTCCTCCTTGAAGGGGTCAGATCTAGAACCCAAGGAAGACCAGCTTTGGATCAGACAGAGCAGGGGTTTGAACCTGGTTCTCCCACATTCTCAACCAGCACGATAATTACCGATAATTACTGGGTCAGTCATTCACTTGCAAATTTTTGTCAGCTTATCTGCATCAGGAAGGACGAGTGCTGGTTTTGTTTTGTTTGTTTTTATCAATATAGCCAAGCCAGCAAAGTCACACTATAAAAGCTGTTGTGTCAGCAAAGGTGTAGTTTTGCTGAGAGGGCGTTCACCCATTGAGGGAGCCAGCATAACCCTTGCTTGCCATGGCAAGATCAGCCCGTGATAGGAAAACTTGCTGGTTTGGTTCGAGCAGCAAACCCTTCCTAACGCGAATGGTGCTTCACTGGCTCAAAAGTGGCTCTCTTGGCACGACCCTGGTTTTGCAAAGAAGTCCGAAGGAGGTTTTTCACTTTGCATTGGAGCAAACGCCCAGATCCAAGCCATCTCAGTAGCCTATGTCAAACGGAGCGTTTGTTCTGTGGTCGGCTGTCATGGGCGTGGGTGGGCACGTGGGTTGGTCAGCAAGGGCAGGCAAAGCTGGCTCCCTGCACAAAGGGCAGCAGTAAATTCAGTACTCTTAAAGCAAAACCTCTTTTTTTTCTTACATCTTAGAATCATTTGGACTCTTCTTCTGGACTTCCCTCAATCGCCTTTGTTTTGTTTCTGAAAATTTCCTAAGCGTATGCGGAATGTGGCTAGGTTGCTGCTGGAAACCCTCTCCCCTCGGCATGGTCTGAGGCAGGACTGAGCACAGGCAGCCGGGCAGCCTGAGCACGTTGGCAGGGGTTCGGTGGGCACAGCACCCTTGCACGGCCGAGGCCGGCTACCGGCTGCGGGTGGCAAGACACAAAGACTCGCCAGGAAGCCTCCTCTCGACAATGTGGTTCCTGGGTGTTTGGGAAGGTGGTCAAACGGCAGGATGAAGCAGTAGAACAGGAGAGAATTATCAGTAACATGTATTTACTCGAATTCAGCCTCAGCATGGCTC